CCATCCCGCCGTTGAAATAACACAATGTCATTGTACACGTTCGAAACATGGCCGAAATCGAGGAAAAAGTCAATACTCGAGTCGAAAACGTGGTGAAACGCCGTTTTGTCTTCGACGCGTAAACGCGCTCTCTCTCCTTTTCAACGCCTTTATACGGCCAACAAAGTGTCCGATATTAATAATAAGGGAACGAAAACGCCCCGGGCGGATATATTTAGAGGACAAACATACGCACGTTTAATTCTTCACATAGAACGAAATCGACCGATTGGCCTTGCGCTCTCCTCTCTTAAATATTTAATTATAATTATTCGATATTTGCACGGGCGCATTAGCGAACCGTGGCATGATTTATTCCTGTTCCTGTATTACGAGAGAAAATATTAAAGATTTGCGAATTTATCTTTTATATATATTTGTTTGTAAGATTTTATGAGATTTTTGTATTCATTTCGATTTTACGTTTACATGTTAATACGACGCGTGAATAAAAATTTTAATTGATTTTAATTAGAGGTACAATTTTTTAAATACTGAAATTAAATTACTTGAAAATATCAACGTGTTCTCGTTATTTTGCGAGAGATTTGTTGAAAATAATTTTAAATACAATGAAAGTGAGGAGAGAATAAAAAGAGCGAAGTAAGAGTAAAAATGAACGTGACCGATGAAATACGATATATACAATAATAGTATAACGTACATCGTTTTCAACGTATACACCTTTTATGATGTATAATAAAATCTCTATAAATAAAATCGAAAATTTCTACTAATCTACAACTAATCCTCGCAAATTAAAAAGTTCACGAAACGAAAAAAAAAAAAAAGAAAAGAAAGAAAGGATAAAAACAATTTTCGCTAATTTTACATGCGCGAATTTACATATTCACACAACTCGAAACGAATTTTTACGTCCACGCGAGCAACAATCCACCACGATTTGATTATGTAACTCTGGCGAATGCACGAGGGATGCGAAAGCGAGTCGGCGTGAAATATCTTTCGCGATCGCCCCTCCCCTCACCGCAGAACGGGGTGGCGAGAAAAACGCGCGGAAAACAACCGGCTACTGATTACAGCGATGACAAATGGTGGCGTGGGAATTACGAAATGAAGGTTTAATAAGGTATGAGACGGATAGGGCGACGGCCACATTCCCCGCGCTAATTAACAAATCCAATTTTAATCGACGCTCCAATTCGCGCCCCCTCTCTGGCCCACGTTGCGCCATGGAGGGTAAAAGTGATCAGCGGCTGCCTCCCCCCTCCTCGTGGCGAAATTATTTCGCGTCAGCTGGACCCTCATTTGCTCTTTTCCCCCTTTTTTTTTCATTTCCTTCTTCTGGGAAATGCGATTACCACGACGCTTCGATGGTTTATCTCTGGTTTATGTGTGATGTATCAGCTTTACGAAAGATCGAAATAAATCGTGGAAATTGGTGTACAAGTAAATCGAGTTTGCTTTAAACTCGATTTCTCTAAAAATAGAGAAAAATAAAGAAAAATTCGTTAAAACAATCCTTGAATTAAAGTTTCAAAGAATGAAATACCAATGAAATTCTAGTTATCGTAGGATCAAGATCAACAATGACAACATATCCTTCTATATATCCTTCATCGTTTCACCATTACCCGAAAAATTATCGCTCGATCCACCCACAAATTGAAATCGTTCGTAAATTCAAAAAAAGAGAAACAACGTTCCCCCGATTCTCTATACCAAATTGACGTCCTACCATTGTCATCGAACGTCACGATGAACCTCAGAGTCAATGAAAACGCGTAACAAACAAAAAAAAAAAAAGAAAACGCGTATCCCACATATCTCCCGTCAATTGTCCCGAGATTTTTCGGCCTGGTGGTGTCCGTAATAACCAAAACGCAGGAACGAAGGGAGCGTTGAATGACCGGACTTTCCGCGATCACACCCGAATAATTCAGGAAACCGAGTCCGAGGATCGAAAGCGATGACACGAATGGCATGCCAGCCGTGTCCGTGGTAACCCAATGGGGCCGGTCTCTTAATTAAAAATCGTGAAATCCGGCCCCCCGTCGTGTCCCTTTGTTACCGTTCTCGTCATTCGTCGTTTCGTTGAGCAGAGAGAGAGAGAGAGAGAGAGAGAGAGAGAGAGAGAGAGAGAGAAGAAAGGAAGGAAA